AAAATAAATAGTGACTATTTTTAAAGCGCTTGCTTAATATTACAGAAGCAGTGAAATTTTATGGGGATTCTTCTTTCAAATATTAACGAGGGTCTGTTCAGTTCTTTTCAACCACAAACCAAAGTGGTTTGTTTTCTTGTATCAAACTAAAAAGGAATATGGCATAAAGAATTTGAACACTGTGACACTATCATTTATTATAGGATCCATCATGGTTGACCTATACAGGGAGAGATTAAATTTGCAGTTAAAATTCTATTCGAGTTTCATTGTTAAATACTGTTCATTCTAACCCAGGATTGGTTCTTTGGACATTGAAGCATTTCAAAGCACCTCCATAAAGTCTTTCTAAGACAGTCTTTAAAAGGTAGATCTTTGGATCTTGTACTTTTGCCTTGTGTCCATCTAGAGTCCCTGTGTTAATTATAGGGTGGGTTGCCTTTAGCTCTTTCACTAGCTGGATGAAAGTATGGATGTTTTTGAATCGATTTTCTTTTTTTTTTTTCAATTGAGAAAATCACATGGGGGCTAGTAGGGAGGAGGAGACTCCAACTCCACACCAGCCTCAGGCCAGCTGACACAAGGGACAGATCATATCCCATTTGCCTTGAGCCTCCACCAGTCTTTACCCTGTTCTGATTATCCACTGCTCCTATGGCACTCTACTTTGCAGCTGTGTTCACAAACTCCCTGCAATGGCTACCCTACCCAGAGCTCACAGAAATGTCACAATTATGGGAGGAGGTTATTAGGGAACTTAACAGGGTATCAAAAGCCAGAATCAGAAAAAAAACACATTAAGAATGCAGTTCTTAATCCAAAGCAGTACCTCTTCTATTGTCAGCATCTCAAGAGTTTCTTGTCCTCTGTCTCCGTTGACCAGGAAGCTCACAGCTCTGTCTCACCAGAGCCCGAGGGCTCCTCTACTCTCGCTCTGCATGGCTCCACCGCTGCCTCCACCACTTCTGGTAGGGATCTGAAATACCTAAGAGGTGATTGAAAATATTATGGATTTTTGTATATTTTATAGATAAAATCCACTGCCATTGTGCCAGGCCTGACTCCTAGTGGCCCTGTATTGGGTTTTTAAGGCTGTAATCCTTTGTGCAAGCAGATAGTTTCATCTTTCTCCTGATAAGCAGCTGGTCATTTTGACCTGCCAAACTTGGAGTTAGTAGGCCAACATTCCAGCACATATTAGACAGTATAATCAGTGTGTGTGTGAGACATCCATATTAAACAAAAATGTCAAAGCGTGAAGCTGTATTTTTCTTGATGTATCTTCTGTTGGTGGAATTTTCATCTTTTAAACCCTTCTGTGCTCATGAGTTTACACCCTATGATGTTTGGATTGGCCCTTTCCTTTGAAGACACCCTCATAATAAGAAGTGTGCTGCTTAGAGACCTGGTAGTAGCAGTCACTTCACTGATTGCAGAGCCATGTTTGAGCATCTTCTGTTACGATGTAAGAATAAACCTGTGCAGGTATGAGCTGTAAGCCCTAGTAGCAATACTTTTTGATTTGTCCTTTAACAAATATATTGGGGCAAGAGAATGGGCTGGCTAATGTATATGTTTAAAATATGAATTTTGTCTTGTTTTAGGTTTTACTGGGATTTAATAATGCTAATAATGATGGTTGGAAATCTGGTCATCATACCAGTTGGAATCACATTCTTCACAGAGCAAACGACAACACCGTGGATTATTTTCAATGTGGCATCAGATACTGTTTTCCTATTGGACCTAATCATGAATTTTAGGACTGGGACCGTCAATGAAGATAGTTCTGAAATCATCCTGGACCCTAAAGTGATCAAGATGAATTATTTAAAGAGCTGGTTTGTGGTTGACTTCATCTCATCAATCCCAGTGGATTATATCTTTCTCATAGTAGAAAAAGGAATGGATTCAGAAGTTTACAAGACAGCCAGGGCACTTCGCATTGTGAGGTTTACAAAAATTCTAAGTCTCTTGCGTTTATTACGGCTTTCAAGATTAATTAGATACATACATCAGTGGGAAGAGGTAAGACACATCTTTTACTTTTTTATACACGCTGTATGCAATGAGACTTTTGTGTGACTGTTTCAGAAAAAACAGTTGTGTTCTATGTAATGAGTTTTATGATATTCTACAACATTTTATTTTATTAATATATTTGGTAAATAAGTGATATATTAGAATCTTCAAATGATTCAAATACAGGAGTTGGATCAGCAGAAAAAAATTAGCTTTTATAAGAGGGCTGATTATTCAATGCAGTCTATATTAATCAACAAGTTTTCATCTTCCTGTACACTCCCCTTATACCAAATTGTGAATCCATTTTTCTATAATATGAATGCATCAAGTACAAACAATGATAGCAATGTGTAGGGTCTGATTGCTAATCTAGTTTGTATTATAGCTCTGTGAGATACTATGGGATATGCTTTTTCTAATATTGAAATTTCAAAGAATTTAGATTTGAATAATAGAAGCAATATATTTTTTGGTATGTGTGTTTGTGTGACTGAGAAGGGCAGTCAGTGTTTGAAGGTCTAAATGTAAAATGTTTTATTTGCATATAGTATTGTGCTCGTTGTTATACTTTGCCAATAATTATCTATGATTTCTCCCAATTATTTAAGTTTATAATGGAGGAAAACACAATACACAAAAAGGAAATTAATACACAGGAAGACTAAATAGTAGAGGGAGTAGAGATCCTGAATATTGTCAATGAGTGTCATATTTTG